GTTCATGGGGGGCAACGGAGGTGCTGGCGCGTCGAGTGGGCAGAACGACTCGCTGCCCACCCAAGACCACCAGATCGCGGTCCCGGACGGGAATGGCTCAGCCGACGCCTACGGTCTTCCCGTCCGCCGACGCCCCCCCCCCCGCAACTTGGTGGGCTCCTCGGGCCTGGCGGTACTGGACTCGACACCCGCCTCTGCGAGCTCTGCCCAGCTTCCCCCGCCCGGCCCTAGTGCCGAGGACGAGCCCCGCCCCCCGACGCGTGGCCCATCCCCGATGCGCACCGGCGAAATCTCCTACGCGGAGATAGTGGGGGCCACGCGAACGCAGCTGATGCAAACTGCGAGCAGCGAAGGAGCGGCGTCCTCCCACCGCTCTTCCGCCTTCCAGCCAGTCCACGCAACCCAGCAGGCCCAGTCGCAGGGTAGCCAGCAACCGCAGCGCGTGCAGCCGCAGCCCCAGCGGCAGGCGACGCCGGCAGCCTCGTCGTCATCCGCGCCCAGTGGCGAAGATGGCAGCAGTGCCAGGAAGCGGCCCCGCGTGGATGGCAGCACCGACGAGACTGAAGTGAACGAGCTCAGCCCCAATGTTGACATTGAGGCGAGCGCTAGCCGGACACAGCACAAGCAGCGCAAGGAAAACGAGCTCCAAGCGCGAATCAAAGCATCACGCGCACACAACAACGTCCTCATCCTCCCGCAGTTCCCGCGACCCACTACGCAAGCTGAAATGAAAAAGTTTGCGCAGCGGATCCAAGGAATCGCAAACACAAAGTACGTGGTGGAAATCGTCGAGATCTCCGCCAAGCTTGGGCGCATCAACTTGGTTTTCGAATCCGAGGAGCATGCGAACAAGATGGTGAACGAGCTCGTCGAGATCAACGGACAAAGCTACGACCTGGAAATGGCTGTCGAGGGCTTTACCATCTCTCTGACAGGCAACACAGCCAAGGTCGACGAACAAGCAATCCGGAACGCAATCGCGAAACAAGGACAAATCAACATCGACCGAGTCGGCTCGCCACACCATTCGTACTGGCCCCTGCTACCGGGGGCGAAGCAACGAATGAAAAATGGCGAGATCAAGATCGACCTGCGAGTCAGCTCCGAAGAGATGGAGCTGATTGGCAAACGATTCGAACCGCTCATCACCATCGGAAGCGAAGAGCTC